CCTCGCAGCTCACGAATTTTGTTAACAAATCCCAGTGACGTCACTCGGCTGGCATATTTGATGATGCTGTTGTTGTCGCCCACACACACAATACATTCACCCACACACGCATACGAACCGTGGTTGGTGCTGTAGTTCTTGTTATTGTTCTCTACACCCATTGCTCCCTCTTCATATTTCCTTTCTCCATAAATCGTTTCTGCATAAATTATGCGCTTCAAATTGTATTGCCTACTTATGAGCGCAACCAATTCTATGTACTCGCATATGCACACGTATGTGGGTGCACATAGGTGTGGGTGTGGGTATTGACATTCCGCCCAGCTACGCACATCGCTCGTAATTAGTGGCTCACTAACGATAATTGATTAGAGTTTTGTTTTAAGTGAGCGGAAGCCAAGAGAATACGAGAGTGAGAATTTTCTCTGAATACTGCTGTGGTTGATAAGCATTTTAGTTGCGTGTTCGTGTGTGTTTGTGTGTGTGTGTGTGTGTGTGTGTGTGTGTGTGTGTGTGTGTGTGTGTGTGTGTGTGTGTGTGTGTGTGTGTGTGCGTGTAAGCGAGGGTGCGTGTGTCAGATGTTTGCCTGCTAATTAGACGCTAAACTTTCTGGTTAATTAATGTCATCAGTGGCGCTCATTGTGTGGCAGATAGTATAGCCAGAGACGTAGAGATAAGTACAAAGTAACTTTGCTCATTGATTGCGGCAGGTGTTTGAGATTGTGAGACAAAAGTAAGTCTCAGTTTCGGAACATTTTCTTTTTTCGTTGGTAGCTCTTCACTAATGGGCCTTTGCAAACTATAAGAGGAGAGCGCATTAAGTAGCAGCTTTGGTTATATGCTGTGGAGGCTACAACCAATTTATTGTCAAGCAGCGAGCTACAGAATGTTCAACAGTTCATGCTTAAAGTGTTTTTCAAAGTAGAAGTTGTAATTGCTTTCTGCGGAAGAGTATTATGCGATTTGTGTGACTGAAGAAATATTGAATAAAAGCACAATATTCTTATAAAATGACTTCTGAAAATTATGAATGTTTTTTGCTCGGCATGTTATTCAATAAATAATAATTCAAATTTATTTATATTTATCATTGCAATAAAATTGTTTTTTTTTTTTTTAATTTTAATGTGTACTTTTTTAACTTTTTAAACTGCACATAAATGAGGTCTATTTATAATGTATTTATATTGTCATGGCTTAGAAGAAAGTTGTTAACTGAATGAAAGTACCAGCAAAGACCTTAAATTTGGACAATAGGTGTCTGTCATGAGAGCTGGTAGAAAACTGCATCATGTGGCAACAATTTCAAACACTATTAGATTATTAAAAATATTTCCATTTTCCCATTAATTGCAAAGGGCCATACATTCATTTTTAAAAAACAATTTTAAATGTACATAAAAATATTGCGACAAAATCATTTTTTCTAATTAAAAAACTGCCTAATCAATTTATGTATATGTATATGTTATATACTCGTGCGTGTATGGTAGCAAAATTTTCATTTTGCTCATTTTTTTGGTTTTAAGTAATTAATTATAGGATATATTCCATTCAAACATAGTATTAAGAAAGTACAAATAAGCCATAAAATGATTGATGCTTTAATTTTTCGGGTTGTTTAATTGAAAAGGAGGCGATTAACCCAGTGACGGGTCAATTTTTGGTTTCTCTTTTGTTTTAGAAGCCGTTGAGCTTCTGAGCTTGGGCGTTCACTTGGGAGCTTAGAAATTTTCAAAGTATACTTATAAAAAAAAGAAGAAAAGTCGCATTTTTCAACCATTATTGCTAATTATGTTTAGCATTGAAAATATTGCGATTTGCTTTGTTTGATGGCATTCCCAAGATGCCTCACATCGTAATTTTGTGTGCCTATGTCAAAGTCGAGGATTTGTCTGCGGAGACATTTCAATAAGCCACATTTTTGTTTTGTAATAAACATTCTTAGCACAGACAACAAAGCATACAACCATATATTTGTATAGAGTGTGTGTGTGTGTGTGTGTGTGTGAGTTACACATAAATTTTTCAACACGACAAAGAGAAGGGGAGGCCCACAAAGATAGGCAGTTAATGCAAAGACATTTGTCGCTATAATTTGACAGGCCCATAAATTTATTCAAATGCCGACAAACTATGAACATAAGTTGCTTCGCCCTCCTACAATGCTTGCTCTATCTACTCACTCGTATACTGTAGTATGCCTCTCTCTTTTGTTCTCTGAGAAATGTCTGTTCTTGAGTCTATGAGTATCATGAACTTGATGCATGAAAATTTGTTGAAAACAAAATTATTTCATTACTTCATCGTCCTCATCCTCATTGTGAAACAAACAAGAAGTATAATTTTGTTCTTTAATGTTTTTATTTTTTCCGCGCTGTTGTCTGTCTGTTGATGTTTTTATTTCCTCTGCGCAAACACGTCAGGGCGTGTAGTATTCGTAGATCGTAACACGCCCCCAACACCGGTGCCGCCCACAAGCTACTTACTTGGTCGCACATCTTTTCGCACTGTTCGCTAAATTGGCGCACGGCCAGTGGAATTTGTATCTGTTTCGAATAGTTTGCCATCAGTAACAGAGCCCCGCTAGAGCCCCCATCGACAATTTGCGTTGGGCATTTAAATGCGCTTTGATTTTTCAGCTCAAAATAATTTACGTGTGATTAGCAATTGGTATGCGATTCCATCCAATTCATTTCGATTCAATTCGTTTCGATTCGTTTCGCATTTGCCTTTTACTCAATTAATTTCGTAATTTCTGTTCGTCGAGTAGAGTGCGCGACTCGCGTTTACGCGTTTTTCATTAAGTGGATGGATGGATCGATGCCGATTGTGGATGCTCTCTTGTTGTTGCGTTTAAATTTGGCGAAACTTGCGTGTTGAAATTTATTATTAATTTGTTGCTGTGTTGCATTTGATCGGATTATATGGTTATGGTTATATATCTGGCCGTTAATTGCTCGCTTGTTTGTTTGTGAGTTTTTGTTGGCTTCCCAAGCATTTCATTTCGTTAGGCCATCAATTTGGACCAATTGCGCAACTTTTTCTTCCCATTCTCCTCAAGTTGTTGCTTGTTCTTTCCTTCCATTTTCTAGCGTCTGTCAACTGTAAAATTTATTTTTTATTTCAAGTGTGCAGAGAAATATTTTGAAAATTCCTATGGATATTTTACTAATTGCTTTGGCCACCAATGCCTATTTTCGGTGCAATTGTAAACGAGATGGGGCTGCCAAAAAAGCCACAGAATTCTTAAGTGGGATGACAGTGTGTTGTCAATATTTCCACAATATTTCTTTCAAAACATTGTGGCGCAGTGCAATGTGTGTACAGTAGAACAGCAGTTATACAAGTTATATCTTTGTAATGTTTCAAAATGCAGGTCTTGTAATCTATCAGATGTATTTCTTACAGAGTTTGTAAACATTAAGCTATTTGTTAAAAGCTGCTTTAAATCATAGACAAATCTCAATGTTAATCTTCGTGCGTTCAAAAAATATATTTCCCATTTTTTTTAATTTTAAAAGCCAATGATTGCCAAAAATATATAATAACTTTTATATAATCAATTCATCCAAAATGAAAAGGTTTTTTAAGTTCTTTATTTACTTGTTTGTGATTGATAGAAAAAATGTCTCGTTTTAACTCAAATTATTATTATTTTTTCATTATTTGTTTTTAGTATTTACAAGTAATTTTAAAATTTCTACACATTTCTTTTTATCTTAATTGGTTCCCATTGTACTACAAATATTACAAATACATGCAGAGCCTAAGCTCTTGCGTCTATCCGTTTATTTACGCACGCAATTTTCTTCTTATTTTCGACATTTTCATGATTAAAGTAGTCCTAACTAAATAGAGAGGGGATAGGTGGGATGACAGAGCGACCGCAAGAAATGTTGATTATACGCACTGTTGGCACATTTGTCACTGCCCCAAATAAACGATGCCACGGCGCCACAACTGGCACCAAACCGACCACATGTGTGAGCAGTAGGAAATGAGCTTAACCCTTTAACAACAATTAAAAAATGTTTAACTTGATGAAGACCAACGATGAGCGCTGGAAAACGCGGGCAGCCTCTAAATTGCATCTGAGTGCATGTGTGTGTGTGTGGGAGTGTGGGAGTGGGTGAGCTTTTGTGGGCACTGTGGCAACTCAAGTGGTCAAGCAGCTGGCAAGGAGGCAGGCAGGCAGGCAGTCAGGCAATTTTATTGCTGCACGAAGCTGTGGCTGAAAAAACCGCCAAGACAATTAAAGTAAAAGCTCGCCTATGGCCAGCCGCCAAGTGGACTACTTCGTGGCAATGTGAGTGCTATATACAAATGAATGTACATAGTAGAATGACTTGTACAAGGACATTTTACTCGACTCTATTGGAAATGTCTGCGATAGTTGAGAGCTACGTTTTTGTGAATGTATTTTGAGTAGAAGAGAATGTTGCCAAAGTTCTAATCTGTGTGAAACAATCGAGTCAATAAAATAAAATACAGATAATTATAGTTAAAGGTGGTACAGAAATGAATCGTATAGTTGCTAAATAGTTGCTAAAACAATTGATTTAGGAAGGACGAATATGTCTGAAAGCATTTTTATTTCACTTGAACGTTTAAGTTTTAGACATTCGATTGTTGATCCTGTAATAGATTAATTCATATGGTAATCAATCGACTAGCTCAATTAATAGTTACTCTCATACATGAGTTACGCCTTCATATGCGACTCATATATAAGCTATTCATTCATTCAATCACTCAGAATTAAACATTGATTTAAAAACTCTTCGTATTAAACGGGAAGGGAGTAACTACATTTTTCTCATTCAATGCCTAACAAACACAATGATTCACTTGCTTGAAGCTCACAACTGTGTACTCATGCAGTGCTCTAATGTATACTTTATAGTAGTTGTAGAATTGCTCGAATTTTTTTTATAGAAATGCATTAATTTATGTCTTTTACTCATGAATATTTTCGCTTTTCCTTCCCTATTTTGCAGAACCAAGAAAAGACAAGACTGATGCACAACAACAACACGGTGGCAATGGCACAATATCATCACCCAACATTGAGCAGCCCACATGCCAAGGCTCGATGTTGCCACCACCCGGAGGTGGTGGTCAGCATATGCATCACAGTCAGGTCGACGGGAATATTGGTGGCAACAACAAATTGGAGAGACCCAATACGCTGGGCACAAACAAGCTAACCCGACGTGGGGTCAATATATGCTACCATAATGAGCACTGTAAGTGGCAGCAATTGTTCAGTTTGCTTGTTTGTTATTGTTATTATTGATTGAGAGGAACTCGGCTAGAGATGATTTAGTTTGAATCCCACAATAATAAAAACACACAGCCTCATACACACTCACTCTTACACACAAACACACACACACACTCAATTACATGCTCACAACTCACACTCACGAACACTGAGCTCATTGGCTAGCCAAATCACTCACTCACTCACTCTACCCCTCACCCCCTGTCTTATAGATGGCGACGATGGCAAAATAGTAGCCGGTCCCCCAGGCAGCACACCACCACCATATGCCAGCGCCACGGGCGGCAAATTGCCACCCGGAGTGCTGCTCAGCGAGCTGCCAGAGCCACCAATACCCGTATCTGAGATTGGACCCATCCCACCGCCGCCAATGTTCTCCACGCCGAGCCCCACGCTCATCGCTGGACGACCGCACGGGCCAGGCGCCATTAACGATCAGGACTATCAGCAGGACTATGACTATGATGGTAATAATGACGAAGCTCTGGGTCTGCCGGCTGCCTGTTTTACTCTCAACTCATTTAAAAAAAAAAGAAAAAACGCGCACTTCATTCTCTAACGCTAGACGCAAGTAGTCAGAATAGATTGAAAGGTCCTTGGAGCTTCCAATATAATAATTAAAGCTTTCTCTTTTGATGCCAAGACAAATCAGAAATGTAAATTTGGTTGTCTAATTTAGTTTATTATTTACTTTATTAGAAAGTCTAAACCACTTTTATGTTTTTAAAATAATAATAATAATAATAATTAACTGTTTATTCAAATTGTTCAGTTCTTAAGGCAAACCCGATTGCTTTAAAAATATTTAATTACTTTAATTTTATAATATTTTTTTTTTATTTGTGCCTTAAGAAGAAGGGGCATAGAATTCTACTCATTTGCAGTGTTTAATATTTACAGTACAGTTCTTGTGTTAAAATCGAACCACTTAGTTGTTCCTACAAAATGTTGACCCCTTCCAGACCTAGCTAGTGAACCAAGCGGCACAAATCATAGCAGTAGTACCCCATTTAATACAATTGTGATTGTAATTACCAGCATTTTGACTGATTGTTTGTCCTCCTTTTGTTCTTCCTACGCCAGATCACGATCCAGATCATGATGAGCTCGACTCAGATGACGAATATGCGCCCTACGGAGGCGGCGGCAACCACGTGCGTGTCGATACGCAGCGTGTCGAGGAAATTCCAGCCAAAGAGCCCAAACCAAATGCAGTTCCTCTTAAGTCGGCCCTGAAGAAGAAGGGCGGCACGCCCGCCTCAGCTTCCTCACCGGCCACTCCCACACAGGAGCATCACAATAATGCTGGCAACAGCAACAACACTACCAGCGGCAGCGCCCATGCAGCAGCAGTGGCGGCCAACAGTAATGGCGGCATCGGTTCCATGGCCGCAGCAGCAGCGGCCGCCGCTCAGCAATCGGCCAGCCAGAGGCCCCTCGTTGTGCGTCAGGATGCCACGGGCAACAATTATTCGCTCAAGTGAGTAGAGGCAGAGACGAAGTACACTAGATAACACATTCTGTTTAAGATATTTAAAGTCAATTGATCATTGGAATGAAAGGAGATAATTAACAGCCTAAAAAAAATTAACATAAATACATCTCCTATTTCAAACTCTTAGGTAAATGGAGCGTCAATGGTTATTTGGTTCCATTTAGAAAATTAAAGAAAATGCATATAATTTTTTAACACATTCATTTGGAAGCAAATAGTAAATACATATTCATTGTAAATCGAAATGATTTTCCTATTGGAATAGCCAGTCTTAACAATCGACTGACCAAAGAAGCCATATTTCTAAATGGAAATTCGATTAATCGGTTATCGCGAATTAGTGTTAGTAAAGTACAAAATAGCAGTTATAATAAAAAAAAAAACACAGAAGTAGGCTTGTAATATCAGAATATTATAAATATCTGGAAATGTTGCCAAAAATCTTATTAATTTCAAAAATTCGTAACAAAAGTCTAGAAAGAATATTGTTTATTATTCGTTTTGAATGAAACTTTTTATAAAATTGCATATTTTGAGGATTTTTTTAAAGATAATTTCTATCAAGATGTTAAAATGTTTCGATAATCCAATAATCGATTGACTTTGAATGCTTTCTTTGTTTTGTAGCTTGGCACAATGGTTTCAAGTTTCAGTTTCTCGTTTCTTGTAGTTATTTTTGAACGTTTTCGTTGAAGAGTTCATTTTTCGTTTCGATTTTCTTACTTGAACTGAAAATAATATAAATTTTTGCAAACACTTTAATATAATTAAAACAAATGCGAAATTCTTTTAACCAACCACTTACACACGTTTCTATACCTTGTCAAATGTTTTGTTTTTTTTTTTCTGCCGCACCATGTTCAATCAACGATAAAAAAAAAACAACCCGCCCTCTTGCCATCCACGACCCTAAAACGCCTGTTGTTGGACTCTATTTTATTTGATCTATCTACCCACTATATATACCTATATTGTTTATCAAAAATAATTTTCTCTTCCCACTCGGTTTGTTGTGTTTTTTGTGTGCGTTTCTGCCAAACCAACAACTAAATTTACAACAACAAAACCAAAATCCATCACCTCTTTCAACAACTATAATCAACTACTCTTCTACAACAACAACTACTACTACTACTATATACTACAACCCAACCAACCCGTTCAATTAGGCCTATACTACGACCACGGATTAGAATATGGTAAACATTTTTTAGCTAATTTATTTGTATGCAAAAGTACTTTTGGTGCACTTTTCGACTTTGTTGTTGTTATCTGGTATGTTTCCCCCCCCCAAATCTCCATGCATTGCACCCAATACAGCAAAAGCGACTAATTACACCGGTTTCCCCGCCGCCACCCACATCTCTGTTGGTGCACTTTTCTACCCATCTGCCTGCTTCACAAATTTCGTTTTTTTTTTAAGTTTCTAACAAAAAAGTCAAACCCAGCATCAAACAAATGAAAAATAAAAATAAAACAAAAATAAAATAAAATGAAAGGAATCTCGGCAACAGTCAACAATTGAGACACACATACACATATACACACACGCACACACACACACACACAGAGACATCACGCTCTGTCAATTACACACACCCAGACAGAGAGAAAGACTCGAGAAAAAAAAACGCTCAGACACATTTCTTTATTAAATTACTAACTTTTTTGTTCTTTTGTTTGTTGTTAAGTTTCATATCTTCATGTGTCTCCTCCCAGCTTCTGCCACACCCCCCACTCCCCTCCCCACCTTATCCCCTACTACTCTTGGGTCTACGTGTCGTGTGTGTCTGTGTGAAATTTTTTTTATAATAGAAGTTGTTTTTTTTGTGCTTTTTCTCTCTGCTCAGCTCTTTACTCGCTTGCATGTTTCATTTCAAATGAATTTTCGTTTCAAATAGCACGGCATCGTTTCATTATTATATATATACGGATGTATGTATGTGTGTGTGTGTGCGCGCGTGTGTGTGTGTGTAGCTGTGTGTTCGTGTGTAATGAGTAAATTTGTTACTCGTTTTTTAATGTAGGGCTTTGCAATTGCATGCCAACCTAAGTGAACTGAACTGTAACTAGACCGAGACAGACGAGTTGGTTTCCCACAATTCTCGCATTTATCTGCGACTGTTCCTTAAAGAGCCTATAAGTACTATGTTAAACAATTGGCAGCTTTTTAAAAAGTACAACTAAAAATGCAATAAATGAATATATTTTTTTTAAATTTCATTTATAGACATTTTTTGACCCCAGAAACAACAATAATGTAAAAATGAAACACATGTTTTTTATAAAAAAAAATATACAAAAGTACAAAATTTCAAAAAGTCAAAAAACACGCATATTTTTATTTTGCCTTTTCTATTTAATGTAAAAAACCGCATTGAAATCAGACAAAATGACATACGAAGGGTTAATTTTTTGTTTGTTTGTCATTTCCATCACTAAGGTTAGAAATATTATTTAGGAAGGTTAAGACAAAACACATCTTTAGATTTCGATTATTCAGTCATGTATGTGATTTTGAGTATTTTATAGTTAATATAGTTCCAACATATATTAAATAAAGTATGTGGATTGTAATGTAATGTAAACATGTAATCGTATCAAGCTCGTAGGCAAGATCCAAGGCTGAATTATATATGTACTTAGCTTAATGAGTTACAAAGACACAAGAATTTCGTATTATTTTATTTTTTTTTCGAAGAAACTTTCCAATTTAACCTACCAATCAGGTTAGTGAAAGCAAAGTACATCGAATTATATATGTTGATGCCCTAACTTAATGAGTTATAAAGACAAGAATTTCGTATTATTTTGCTCTTTATTCGAACAAATGTTTCCAACTTAACCTACCAATCAGTTTAGTTATTAAGGGGCTTCAATATTACATTAAAATAGATAATCATTAATCTTAATCTCTTTAATACGCTCCACAAATATTGTGGATTGGCAAACATAAAAGGACGACATATTTGAAAAATGTAATTTGTTACAGCTAAGATCTTGTTTCAAAACATATAGTAATTTAAAGCCTTCAAAAAACTCTTGCAACTTTTACTGAACGTTATGGTTGAAATGATTTCTTTGGACCATGAGTTCAATAAATGATTGATTTTTCATGCATACGCGTGTTATTTACAAATTTGTAACTGAATTGAACGCCTGATTGAATAGCGAATTCAATTCGGAATGAAGCGATCAATTTTGTGTTGCATAAAATTTAAATTGAAATGCTGGCAGCTGCATTTGATAGTTCAGTAACCCATGAACGAAATGTGCCCAAGGACTGGCAATTTATGCGATTTTCCAGTAAATGCAAAAGAGCTGTACAACAGAAGGCATTAAGCAGGCGTGAGTGGGTGATGAGTGGTGGGTGGTGGCAGGAATGTCTCCATGTGGCAGAGAAAAGATGCTGCATGTTTACTTTTTCATATTAATGTGCCGCAAAGTGTTGCCGAAGCGTCAGACAGCATACGAGTACGAATATACATATACTATATGTATGTATGCTGTACATTCTTACATACAAGTCAAGCCTTTCAGGCCTGACAACTTTAAGTACCAGAACAAACAACACACACTCAGTCGCATATAAAAATTTGTATGTATGTCGCTGTGTGCATGTGAATGAGTTGGCAGATGGGCACACGTGCCACTTTAAAACAAAATTGCCAGCAAGGGTACGAGTTGGAGGCATGTGGAGTGTAGAGGAGAGGCAAATGTACTACGATGAATAAATTTTAGACACGCACGCACACACAGACAAACAGATTGTCTGTTTGGCTTGTACTAAGCCCTATACATACATACGAGTATACTGCTTGTATGTATAGTATGTACATGAATGTGCAGAAATTTGTTGAAACAAACATTCGAGTCACTGTGCCGGAAATGCTTTAAAAAACAAACCAAAAAGAACCCCAATCCTGCCAGATTGCCTAAAAGTTGACACGACAATTTTAAGTGAATGCTGATGACGTGTGACTGCCTCAGATGTCTGCATGTTCTTATAGTATATCTATATGTATGTGTGGTACTAATAACGCTAGATTTAACCCAATGTATATAACATACTCGTATGTGTCTAAGTATGTACTCTTAAAAAGTATAACCATTTGTCAATTGGCATTGTTGCGTAACTAATTGTTAATTACAAACCATTCAACAGCAGGCAGCAAATGTTCAACATCCAACTGCCGTGCACTGTGGAGAATAAGGAGAACACACGACCCTTTGTGATACGGGAGAGCAGCAGCGATAGTGATGACAGCGATGGTCAGATTGTCTATCGGGACGACGATAACGATAACACACGGCTGGCCAAGCTGGCGCGCAAGGAGTCGCTGTCATTGAAATTGCAATTGCGACCCGACAAACAGGATCTGATCAATCGCAACATATTGCATCAGGTCACTGACAATGAGCTCAAGGAGTCCAAGGAGGCCATAGGCGCGCGCCTCATACGCAGGCTATCGATGCGGCCCACAGCCGAGGAGCTGGTCGAGCGCAACATTTTGAAAAGTAAGTGAAAAATCAATTATTTTGGTCTCGGATAGAAATACCATAGAAAAGGAAGCACGATTTATCAGAATCAGAATGTTGTGCCAAAAGAATTGCAATAATATGTTTTTTAACGAAATTTAAACAACAATTTAGCCAAGAAAAGAAAAAACATTTTTTAAAACTTAAGGATTGGGAATGAGATTTTAAAGAGAGCGAAATAAAAGAATAGTTATTACAGTTATCATAAACAACAATTTGGCCAAGAAAGGATTGGAAGCGAGATTTTAAAGAGAGCGAAATAACAGAATAGTTATTACAGTTATCATAAAGGGGAAAAAGAAACACATATTTAAACAGAAACCTCAACGTCCTTTCAAGAATTTCTCAAATTATAGATGGTTGAAAGAAAAGAATTAACAATCCCAACCAGGGGATTGTATAAACATTGTAAGACCTTAGTTATCCCAAAAACTAATATGCGAGAAAAAGGCAGAGTAATTATCTGACATACTATTAAAAGAATTCATTTAAGCAGTCCTTTAGTTACAGAAATTGAAGTAAGGAAGCAAAGAAAAAAGTTCTCATCAAGTTAAATTTAAATGCAATTTATACATTTGCATATGAATAGTGAATACTAGCTTTTCGTACACCCGTATTTTCAATCCGAGATCAAATTGAAAATTTACAAAATACAAAACCAATTTCTTTTTTTGTACAAACACAGCTCAATCACCCGCCGAGGAGAAGAAACAGAAGGAGGAGAAGAAATCATATTTGCTGCGCAAGCTCAGCTTTCGGCCCACGGTCGAGGAGCTTAAGGAGAAGAAGATCATACGCTTCAACGATTACATTGAGGTGACGCAGGCGCACGACTACGATCGGCGAGCGGACAAGCCATGGACAAGACTGACGCCAAAGGACAAGGCTGCCATACGCAAGGAGCTGAATGAATTCAAGTCCTCCGAAATGGCAGTGCACGAGGGCAGTCGGCATCTGACGAGGTACGCACAAAAAATAACTATTTTGCAGGCCCTTGAATGTGACAGTTCGGTGTTAGTTTCAAGTCTCAAATTGCTCCCCAGGCTGGCTGGCAGGCAGGGCGGCAAGCCGGCAGGCCGGCAGGCCGGCTGGAGAAGCCACAATTAAAGCATCATTGGGAGGACAGGGCTGACATGCCACTAAATTATGTAGAGGCGCTGGTTTGTCCTTGTAGTCGTGGGGCCACCACCAAATCGAATTGCCAAAAAAGTGAGCCAAGCAAAAAATTACAAAACCCAATGAAGTGTCACGTGCAGTGTTCGACCGGACACACACACACACACATGTACGTGCATATAGTACATACATATATATTTTATATACGGTCATTGTTAGCCAACAGTTTGCAGCCACAAAGGACTTTGTGGCAGCGTGTTGGTATTTTATATTTTTTGTTTCTCCCTCTTATTTCCTTCCTGCGAATTGTGCGCTGCACTTGTAATGCACGTTTAGGGATCAGCCCTGGGGGCTGTGGGAGGAGTGGAAACAGCTGCTGTAATAGCCAACAGACTTTGTGCAGCTTAGGTGATGGCTACAGCCATTGAACAATTTAATGTATGTGGCTGTGCTTACCCACAACCCACAACTTTCAGCTTAACTGGCCAAATACTCAAACTTGAGTGGCCTTTAAAACTACTGTGCACATAAAATTCTCACAGTACGGCTGACTGTATGTGCCCTTGCTGTAGATTCAATTATTCGGGAAATCTATCAGTACCGAATTTATTCAACAAAATAGTTATAGCCAGCATATAGTACATAATATTTGAAGCATTAAAACCATACGTTTTTGTGGACAAAAAGAGACTATTACATCTTTCGTGTCTGATTGGACTAACTCGGCTTCTTTGTAGCAGCAGTTCCTTTTCAAAATAGTGCCTTTCTAGTTTCTCCATAGGCTATATGCTGATCTGAAATATTTTTTCAAAAAACTGTTGATTAGGAAAGTCATTAGCCCTCAATTGGCTTTCCAGTTGTATGTTGTGTGTTGGCCCCTTTCTCCAATTAATAACATCTTAATAACTAATATAGAAAACAATAAATAGCAATATATGTGTTTCTATTCACTTTGGAAAACCTTAAAGTCTACTTTCGAACTATCCCAATAATTGAAATATTTTTCATGGCTTAAAAGCCAGGGTCTCCTTCTTCATAACTTTTACAAAAAACTGCAATAGCATGGAAGTGAAAGATGTTGTTAAAGACGCCTTCCAGCCTTCGACCAGAACGTACTCTCTGATGTCTGTCAATCTTTTTTCGAGAGTAGTGCTCATGGACTTGCCAAATGAGTTTCTACGAATCTCTCTGAGATCTGTAGAACAAAATGAATAAGCTTGAAGTTCTTGGGTTGACTGTTGAAATGTAGTTGATTTTCTAGGAGCATCTGAGAATCCGTCTTTTCATTTAAAACGCTTTTTAAAGGTATATTTCGCGTATATCGATATCGCTTCGAGATTTTATTGCAGGTGGACGTTATTTGCTAGCAGCCTACTTTTTATACAGTTGTCTGGCTTAGACAACTATTTTAAAATATATGTGGACATCGCGACAATTTCTCTCATATCGCACTTTCGTTCTTACACTTTACAGATTCCATAGGCCATGACGATTGCAATGGCAGCAAATTTCCAACAAATTACAACAACAGCCTAAGCAACAATTGTATTTTGTGCAACATAAGAAAATTGTGAAAAGCTATTTTAAAACAATGCATTAATATGAAAGCATTAAATCGCAAGAAATTCAATGAAAAATTCGAAAAAGAAAACATTTAGCAAAACAGTAAAAGAACATTTAACTAAAAAGAAATGAAAAAGTAACGCATGTTTCGGCAGCAAACAAAAAAAAAGAACAGAAAGAAGAAGAAGAAGAAAAAAACAATTACATCCAACACTCTTTGTTTCGATTTTTGTTCATACATATAGTATATGCAAATATTAGTTTTCCTCAAATGCGGTTTTCTATTTTTAAGTTGATTGTGTTTTTGTTAATTGAGTGTGTAAATAAATTTTAGTCAACTTTTGTTGAGCTCCGAAAAAAAATTCTAAACGTAAACGCAAATTATCAGGATTGTCTAAGAAATGTTCAAGTCGTCAAGTTGTTAAATTTTTCAGTCAAGGCAATTATGTATTATATTATAACAATAATGAATAAAAGAAGAAATAAAAGTATATTTCATTATTGCTAAACAACAACAATTACAATTACATACATTTAAATAAAAGTCAAGAAAGCAAGATTTCAAACTAACAACACAAACATTGCTAATAAATTCATAAAGTTTAAGCATACATTTACTTTTACTGCTGCTTTCCATAAATTTTTAGATTTGAATTAAGCCAATAACTAAACTCAAAAGAGTAATTATTAAATTCAACTAAATTCTAAATGATTATGTTTTAAATTTATGATTATATTGTAAAAAGCCTATACGTAAAACCAACTCATTTTAAACATTAAAAACAAGAACTAAAGAACATATTGCAAATAAAATTTAAATTTTTAAAACAATTACGAAACATTTTTGCATTTTTGCATTTAGTTTTAGTTGTGTTCCATCATTTCTTACCTTTTTATATTTTCCCTTTCAAAACCCTCTCCTAGTTTGTATATAACATGTACATACATATCGCCAAATTGCATAAAACTCTTAAACTTAAATATCGCAAATATCGAAGTTGGAGACGGAGAAGCAAATTTCATAGCTCCAAGACAAAAACTGCTCAAATGAAGCACTTAAACTTAAATTTAAAACAAAATAAAAACACAATGAATACAAAAGAAAAAAAAAACAAGACAAGAACCCCAAAAAATACACTTTGAAAATTCTAATAAAAAATTGCAACAAAATATCAGGAAATTCAAACTGAAGCAAGTTGGACCCAGTATGAAGTTTTTTAGAAACTTAAATTTAACATGTAAGTTTTTAGGAGGCAGAAACCAAAATGGTGCGTTGAACAACAAAAGAAACAAAACTAGAGTTGATGAACAAACAGAAAATAAAATAAAAATCAAATTTATTTTGTAAACAAAGTTGCAAATGCAGAGAAGATGAAGACGAATACGAAGACGAAGAAAGTGGAGAAGACACAAGAAGTAAGCAAAGAAGGTTAAGCAAAAACTTTTACTCAAACATACAGTTAGCTATAAATGCAAAAATTTATGAATCTAGTATACAAACCAAAAACCAAAACCCAAAAATTTGTAATTGTAAATTTGAAATGCAAATTGAAATGCTCGCGCGTGCTCGTGAATATTTAAACTTAACGTAAAGTTAAAGTACTCGTACATAAATAAAAATGGATATCTAAACAAATTTAAGAAGAACAGTTTCAACTAAACAGCAAAACACTTAGTAAGTTACAGCATAACAATTTATGATTAAAGAAAACAAAAATTAACAAAAAACCAATACGAGTAAATTAGTTTAAACGAAACATAAATAAAGTGGCGCTTCCTTTGCAAGTTTCATATTTCTAATGAAAAACCAAAACAAAACCTAAAAGAAAACGTAATTAAATAGACTTGAAGCGAACTTTGTTTCATGGCAGACTCAAAGACAACAACAAGAACAGCAATATGGGCACAGTTCGATCTTTTATGAGACATGGGAAATATGTTGGTTTCGCCAATAAGCTGTGCGGGGAAGTTAAAAAAGTAAGCGGTTTGGAAAGGAAAGAATGTTTATCTCTCAGACATAAACCTAATTGCGTAATTTATAATTGGTGTTTTTATTTGGAAGTTTTTAAGTAATTCATCCTTTTAGAATTGCAAAAATTGACTATGTCTGACTGTCTGTCCGCTCGTCTGTCTGTATGAACTCAATTATATCGCGAATTGTAAGTGCTAGCATCACCAAAATAAGTAAGCAGCTGCTTGTAAACACAATACAGATGTCTGCCCAATCAGGGTCGTACTCTGTCGTTGTGTTGATGGGGATGCAGGACATGTGTCTCATAGTCGGGCTGGCCCAACTATGGGCGCTACAAAAAGTTCACTTTCCAACTATTTTCTTTCCAACCATTCCGTGAATTTAATGCTTCCCCGAATAGCAATCAACACTTCAGTTGCTCTCCAAAAGGCATTTAAATTACAAGCCAGCTAAATGGTAAATGATCATTAAGTGAGGATGATAATGATGATGATGATGATGATGCAGCAGTAGCAGCAGCAGCACTTGAGCGCACTTTTTCTCAGTCGTCTCACTCTTACTCTTTGCCTGTTGCTTCACAGCTCGTTGCATTGTCTAAGTTAAGCAATATAAATTGCATATATATACATATAAATATATACATTTAATATCTATACAAAATAAATATATATAGTATATATGTATACAACTATTTATATGAGAAGCGGAGAGGAGCAAGTTCTGCTTGCTATATACATACATATACACAACTATCGATATGAGATAGAATAATTTAAACTTTTTCTATGGAGCGATTTATAGTGTACAATAACAAAAACAGCAAGTAAGAAACCACGAAACAAGTAATACAGATCGATATGGATGGAATGGGCGGCCAAGGCCACCACCACCTCCAAAAAATTTTGTGCAATAGCCAATTTTCCGTTCAATGCGCAACTTTGTGTACAGCATTTTCCACACGAATTTCCATTTCGTTTTTCCACCATTTTAGTAATTGCCGTTGCAAATGAAAACAAGTCTTTGTGGCAATAACAAAAGCAAGAAGAAGAAGATCAATATGAACAACAGAAAAAACAACAAAACCGAACAAGCCAAAGAGTAAAAGTATTGTAAAATGTTTTGAGTAGCAACTCGAATTGTAAGAGCGGCGTTGTCGTATTGAAACAAAAAAGTTGTGAAAATTGCAAGAAGAAACTTAAAGTAAAAACGATTAAAAAAATAGATAAGTAAGCTTAACATTTTGGCAAACAAGAGAATACACAAAGAAGGAAAACAAAAAACACAAACACAAACATACAAAACACATTGAAATTTACGAAATTGTAAGAGAAATGCGGAAAACAGAGGATGAGAAGAAAAAATATTGAATAATAATCACCGACAAATTGAGATTTAATAAAGATTTAATTACTTACAAACGGAAATGTGTCATTTTCTTCAAATTTGCCAGCCAGCTATGTATGTGTGTAGTGGAAAATGGGGAAGGTCAGGGCTGTCTTAGAGCTCGTAACTCTAAAATAATTTAATGGAATATTTGGTTTCCGCAGGAAAACATCTTGACAAAAAGGACTTCCACCGTTGACCATCCCTCAAAAACGTATTCTTTCTCCGCTAATTATTCCAAGTGCGTTTCCTAGGCTTTGGATTCCAATTGAATTTAAAATCATAAATGTGAGAAAGAAATTTTCACCACATTTATTAAAAAGTTTGGATTGTGCTCAGAAACCTTTTTTCGTCTTCAAAATTACCGTAAATGAATCCATGAATGGCTTGTGACGACCTCCGGTGGGGAGGGTCAGAATTGTACTTGGATTCATACAAAAAATGTTAAGTTATGTAATATTGGACTGGGCCATAAATTAATAGTAGCAGCAAAAAAACAATTTTAATGGTTATTTTCTGGTTTAATCGTCTCTTTCTAAAATTTTATTTATGTGTGTTGCTACATGCACAAAGCTCTTGAAGACTCACATTGAAGTAATATTTTATTCAAAATTGTATTTTAATTTAATTTCACTACAAATTTTAGAAAAACTGAAATTTGATTACGTAGAAAAGGTCAGTGTGTTATTTCATGGAAAATGAACTTACAATCTAATAGAATCGCGGCTAGAATTTGAACCAATTTAGAGTCTAAACTGTAGATAAATCGGCGTTCTTTCCAAATGTGATTACTGCGATCAATATACAAGAAAGCAACAGATTTGGTTAGAACTATCACTACCGTCCTTCTTGAGAAATTTTGAATAAAATTCCATGAACTCTTTCGCCAGGAAGTTCAATATGTCTGTTCACTCATCTGTCTGTATGAACTCAATTATCTCGAGCATTGTAAGAGCTAGCATCCCCAAAGTCATAAAAGCTTTCGGTAATATAAATTTATATAAGAGATGGGATTTTGTTTTTAAATTAAGAAAATGTTCGCTCAACGAAATCAAAATTATAATTTAAAGATATATATACTCATAATTGGCCCACCTTTTCATTTGGCAACGTTACTGAATGATGATTCAGGTGGAATATCTGCTAAATGATGCGACGAATCATTGTTTTCTTTCTTCTCATTTGTTTCCCTAAAAAACATTTTTTTCACGCTATATATTTGTAGGATATTTATAAACTTTTTAATTACCATTTAAACGTAACATTTCGCTATAGCTAAGAATTAGGAATAAGGCAAGATACAGACTTCAATATGGTTAACAATTAGCATTAATCATAAAATATTTCTCACTCTATCAGAAGTCAAATTTTGGTTTGCAAAAAAAAAAACCATCTAAATAAATTGAGATAAGCAAACAGTTCAAGCAGCGGATCCACAGCTCCTATTTTTTTTCTTGAACCCAATAAACTTAATTTTCTACCAACATTCTCCTTGCTCATCATCAAGTCATTTTCAGTGATTAAAATAAGTTCAGTTGTGGGTCAAAACTGGCGGTTAATGCTGCAACCAGACATTTTTATAACATGTCCATGAAGTGGCGTAATGACCACCATATGGTAAAAGAATACTACACTAACGTGGAGTTTTTTTGGACTGCGCCCAATAAGATAGGTAAAATGCAGAGGAAGTGAAAAACGCTCTCAGAATTTGGGGTTTGTCGCAGCTAACTTTTTTGAAAAAAGAATTTTTATACTGCACAGGATGCTGTTACTTTAGAATCACCTCGAAATATAATGTCTCTTTCAATAATAAAAAAAAAACATTCACTGTATTAAAATGAAAATCTTACTTGTTAGTACAAATTTTAAAGCAAACTAAAACTAAGTAATGTTCAATTAGAGATGCATATCTTATTCGAAATATACTCTGTCTTATTTCGAAATTCTCGAATATCGAACTTCGAAACCTAAGGCCAAGAGTATGCAACACAAAATTAATTAAACTGCTGCCTATAAACTGCTGCATAATTCTAGGCTGAGGTCGTGCTCCCACGACTTTATAGTCTGTAGTATGTGCAGCCATAAGCTGCAGCTGAGGCCACGGCAGATGTGAGATGCGTGCCGAGAGCTTAGTGGCACATAAAATGTGCAGCCTTTGACACTTTTACAGCTATGCAAATTTTTCGCATGCCTAATCATGGGAAATTCGCTCTGCACACACACACACACACACTCGCACACATACACACACTCATTCATGCGAAGAGGTTAATTTTTCTTTTTTCAAAGAGAAACATTTTGTCATTCATTCATGAATGGCGACTAAGAAAATAATAAGTGTGCACGTTGCGTTCTGCTCATAATTCACGTGCCGTGCGTTCGTGCTCGGAGCAAGTGGCTCGCCAACTGACTTGGCTGGCTGGTTTCTTTGCGTTTGTATCTTGTCAAATGTATCTACCAGCCAGCGACCGGCAATCCAGCAAT